ACTCTTTCCTGTCTCTCCTCTACTTTTAGCACCCAAGTCTGTCTTTCTTTCTCATTAAGAACTTACCTCAAAGGTGGGCCGATCTCTAATGCGTTCCCAGCGTGGCCGGGTAGGCAGTGTACGCACAAAGGGGGCCATGCCCTGGGAATACAGCTTACTTTGCTTGTTCATGTTCATAATATTGATCTTGATGAGTTTTCCTGGAGATCCTCCCCGGACACTGAAGTAGAACCATGACCTGAAGGCCAGAGTAGGACAGATAGGTTATTATATACAGGAGGGCTGGAAAGGGGATATGTAGGGAAGTAGTGAGTGGGGAGAAGGGGTGGGGAGAGGAGGAAGGGTAGTGTGCTGGTATGAACTCTAAGTCAAAAGGCTAACTGAGCTGGATTTGGGGACAAGGACATCTCCTTCTTTTCCTTCTTCCACCTTCCATCACTTTCCTCTTACCTGTTCCCATTCTCAAATTCTGTTTCAGCACAGTCTGGTCGGGTCCACACATTGAACTCGTAGTCAGGGGAAGAGGCAGTGCTGTTGGTGGGGGCTGATGCCCCACCTGCTGCTCCTTCCCCATCACTAGACACAGATTCCACTTTCTCCACGTGGGCTAGGTTCCCTGAATCAAAGCGAGAACTGAACAGCAATCCCCCACAGCGCAGTTCCATGGTGGGGCTGGGAAAGCATCCTCCTGCCCCACTTTGGCCCTGAGAGCTGGGGAAAAATGGAGAGTGGGGTAGGGAGAGGAGAGGGAAGAAAAATGAAAAGTTTTCTGGGTATCTCTGGATTAACAAGAGCTACTCTCAAGAAGTGCTCTAGGAAGCAAAAGGCTCTCTTCCCCTCAGGAAATGCAGAAGTGGCCTTCCAGCAAAAGCCAAGAGAAAACAGTACACTGTCCTCACACTAAGGGTTATAACTGACCAAAAAAGGACCCCATTTTACTACAGCTTGGCTATTCCAAAATACTAGACTCTGAGATTCTTTGCAACCCAAAGTTTAGAGAATTAGAGAAGTTAGATTGCCCCAACTTAGCTAAGATACACCCACAACAACACATGGCCATTCTTGAAAAATGGGGCGCTCTGGATCTCTGCTTCCTAGACTGGCTTCCCACTCTCTAGCAGAGTAGAGCAGAGAGAACCAAGTTTCCAAGTTTAAATGGGCAACTTCCTGTCTCCACTCCTCTGTCCTCACAAGGACTGACCAGGCATTCTTCTGTTGCTCCCCCGAGTCCTGGAAAGGCTGGTTCTTGCTTTTTTGTTACTACCCTATGCCTATTATGGAAGAAAACTAGAAACTCGTGGCCTTTGCCAAGCCAAAGGAAACTGGGCAGAAGCCACCTGCTCACCTAAAGACTGCTGCTCAATTCCAGTTGGGGCATGGGTCTGTTTCCACCCTTCTCCCGCCCTGTAAGCACTGGAGTTCCTGAATAAGCTACCCTGGCAATCGTGAGTAATGGTGTTCTAAGCACTCCTAAAAAAGTGGCTGGTAGAAACCCACTTGGTGGCTTCTCAACCCTCGACCTTAAGGACCCTCACACTGACCGAGCTTGCCCTGGGCAGGGTGGGGTTTGGAGGCATGAGGATGGGTCGAGACAGAATCACACTCGAGGTAGGGCGGGAAGGCAGGGAAAAGGGGTCAGAGGTGAGGCCATAGGAGTGGGGGTGGGGCAGGGAGAAGTCGGGGCTGAGCGGCGCGGAGGGCCAGCCGGGTGGCGGTGGGGCGGGGTGGGATT